AAGATGGGGGGGGGGTGGAAAGACATGAATAAACGTTTCTGACGGATTTATCATCTTCCGTCACACAGCTCGTAGTCCACTGCCCGGCAGACATCAAACTAAAACCTAGGCTGAGTTAAGCATTAGGCGAATGCCCCATTATCGGACTATAGGCGCAAGCCCTCTGGGCTCTGTGGACGAACACATCAGGCTCTGGCAGTACTCACGTATCTAACAATTCCAGTTGGTATGCATTTTGTATTCCATGTTCAAAAGAAGTCCAACCATCTACCACTCTCAATTTCAACAGTCGTCGAAACTTCTTGACATGCATCACTTTTGCCTTTTGCAAACCGACACATAATATGTGTAAACTGTCGAACGCAACAATTAGTTTGCAATATGTCATGCATATCTTATTTTCAAAATCGCGCACGCGTGTTTGAACAACTTTTTGGCGTAAGAGAAAACTCCAACATCAGGTCCATTAAATATTTTAAAATAAAGTCAAAAATAGATATTTCTTGTACTGACATTTTCATCTTTTGTGTTTCTTTTAAAGGGAAGCTGTCTGCTTCGGCCAATCACGGCAACGAGTCACCGAAATCTTCTGAGTACGTAGACAACTTCTATCATAATAAGCCTATCAGCTGCCTTGTGGGTTTGTAAATCGGTTTCATAGTTTAAATCCTAGGAAACTTTGATCTGGCATATGATGGATGGCTTATTATGAAGTGCAGTAGATTTTCTATCTCACATAAGGTCAAATGAAACGCTGAAATTTGTTTTTTTCTAGAAAAAGAGTACTAGCGTAAGCTGTTAAATTAACTAGTACGAGGTATAATCCTTAAATATTTCAGTTGCGTCTGAATGCCGGATTTTGTTTACGAACTTCTTTCAATAAAATTGCAAAACTTACAGAGGAAGTTTTTCTTGCATGCTTTCCATGGGACATATTTCAAGGTACGACGGCACAACACATCGATGATAGAAACAAATACTACTTGAGTAGGAAAGGTTTAGTTTTCTACCAAAGAAGCATAAGAAAAAATATTGTCGTTCATATTTTCTATAGCATATATCTGAATGTAAAAGAGCAGTGAAAATCAATTAAAAAATTCAAACTACAGAAGTAGCAATTTTTTACAGTCGGTTGGAAAGAAGCTCATTCAAAAGCCGGTATGCTGAAGTGGTTGAAATATATTGACATCACTTTGTACAATAATAATTATTCCAACCATATTTAATTGATATGTTCGAATCGGAATCACATTTCGGAATTTTGGTTGACATTTCATGAAATAGGGAATCTACGGTATTTTATAGAAAACGTAAGCAATAAATACTCTCCTTTGTTCCTTTTTGATCGCACTTTTTTAGATTCTAGACTCAAAGAGAGGGCACATTTAGGAATCGAAAACGTTTCCTTTTCGGAGATAATTTTAAGTCCTTTCTGCCGTAGCATTTGCATTTGGGGTTTTCAGTCTACAAACTGTGTGCTTTAAAAAATCGTACATTCCTTTATGCCATTAAGGACACACCATATGGCGATTATAAAAATTGCAGTAGATGGTGAATCTGTTATATATTTCGGCATGAGCATTAACAGATGCACAGATAGGATGCTACTTAAATGGCATCGTACGGTCTTGACGAATCTCATAGCCAGAAACATTTTTAAAAACTAAGTATACCCTGTCTTTGAGTGTAGAATCTGAACGCGACCCGATTTGCTGTCAAATATATACGAGAACGAGTAGTTTGCTTATATTTTCTAAAAGATGTGTTTGAGTTTGAAAGCACTTCCACAAATTCTAGAAAAGAAATATCATACTATATGAGTAACCTTTAAGTACCGTGTAGGTTTTTAAGGAGCTTTAAAGATGCGCATTAAAACAGCCAACATCCTGACATGTCGGATGAATGTTTGAAGAATACTCCAACATCAAAGAGATTAAATTTGCACCCCATTAATCATTTCTAATCTAAAAGACGTTTGTCATTTTCGATTATATCCAGGCATGGGCCCTTCTGGAGGACCACAAATAGGCTGTAATTGCAACCAACCACTCACATCCTTCTTCCCATCCTCTTTTTTTCTAATTTCTCAAGTGAGGAGGAAAACGCTGAGGAGTCGGCCAACCCAGAAGGCAATGAGCCCCCGACTGCTACTGGCAAGGAGGTTCCCCCCGAGGGAGCTGAGGAGGACACTTTCAGACAGGACCTTAATGAACGAATCCGTGCGCGCACGACTCCGCATAGCCGAAC